GGAAAATCTATCTAAAGGTCATCTCTCCATTATACAGTATATCAAAGGCAAACCTTGCCCCTGGGGAATTATAATTTTTGTCCTTTGTGGAAAAAGTGGCCTAGCTTACGACTTTATAATATATCAGGGTGCTACAACGGAACTTGATAAACAGATGTTGACAAGATTTGGGTTAGGAGCTACCATTGTCCTCAAATTGTCAGAAAATATCCCCAGTGGTCATTATCTTTATTTTGATAATTTCTTTTCTACATATAACCTGTTTGAGATTCTACAGCAAAAGAAAATACATGCAGCTGGTACTTTCAGGATCAATAGGTTCAACAAGGCTTCTTTATAACCAGATAAGGAAGCTTTGAAACGCGATAGGGGTTTCAGCGAAGAAGTTGTCAATGTCGATGACTCTATTGTACTTTGCAAATGGGTAGATAACCGTGCAGTAAATTTAGCATCAAATTTTATAGGAATTGGCCAAGAAGATACTGTTAGACGATGGGATAAAAGTAGGAAAAAGTAAGTCACTACCGCATCTTTATAAAATCGAAAAAGTGGACACTCAGGATGATTTTCCACGCTGTAGATTTGGCCTGCACAAACAGCTGGCTGGAGTATAAAAAAGATGGAGAAGCATTAAACATCAATAAAAAAATTATTATTTTAAAATGCGCCTTGCTGAATCTCTCATACGGGTGGGAAAGCCTGTCTCTAAAAGAAAAGCTGGCCGTCCTAGCAGGGAAAATACCCCCACGTCATCTAAAAGAAAACAAATCGAAACCAGACCATTGAGGGAGGTACAGTTAGATTTGGTAGATCATATGCCCGAATTTGATAAAAAAAAAGGAAGCCACCAGATTCAAAAACCCAAAATGTGCTACTGGCAAGACCCACATATACTTTGTGAAATGCAAAGTACACCTGTGTTTTGTTACAAAAAGAAATTGTTTCAGAAATTTCCATACAAAGTAATAAAATGAGTACTTTTTGATTATTTTGTTTAATTTCTATAATACCCCCCAGTGGACATTATTGTAATTTTTGAAAAAAAATACAAGGTGGACCCCTTTAAGTATAAAAACATATTAAAATCAGGTCTGAAAGGGATATGTTCCATTTTAAACTCAGTAGGTTTTAATCTGAGAAAATTTTAATCTAATAATTTAAAGGTGTTAAATTCCATAAGTAATTCCAATTATGATTCAATTTTTCAGTTGGGTGAAAAATCCAACTCAAAAACGTTAGGTTTATATTGGTCAAGCGCCAAAGATACTTTAATGTATAACATCTCGGTTTCATTAAGGTGCGACAAGTTTACGAAAAGGTCTATATTGTCCAACATTGTACAAATTTATGACCCATTGGGTCTTATAAGTCCTACTGTTATTGTAGCAAAAATTATGATTCAAAATCTATGGTTAATAAATCTATCTTGGGATAAAAAAATTCCTGCAGACATGCTCTCTGATTGGTTGCGATTTCGAGAACAATTAGTAAAATTAAATTTATTATCAATTCCTAGACACGTTTAAGTCACTCAATTACAACGACTTGAACTTCACGGGTTCGCAGATGCATCTACAGATGCGTACGGTGCTTGCATCTATTTTCGCAGTATAGATGCAACGGGGGAGGTGAAGACTTCGTTATTATGTGCAAAATCAAAGGTTAGTCCTTTAAAATCGCTAACAATTTCAAGGTTCGAACTTTGTGCAGCTTTGCTATTATCTCAATTTGTAAATAAAACTATTTCATCAATTAAATTACAAATAAATAAAACATTTCTCTGGTCAGATTCAAGTATGGCATTATGTTGGATAAAAACTCCACCAAGTAAGTTACAAGTATTTGTAAGCAATAGAGTATCGCAAATCAAAGAATTATCTCATTCAGATGATATTCGTACAAAAGACAATCCAGCAGATCTGGTTTCAAGGGGCATATATCCAGAAAATTTAGTTAATTCAAATCTTTGGTGGTATGGTCCTACATGGTTGAAAGATGATGAGTCATCTTGGCCTGAATCAATTGTTTCCTTTCCAGAATAAATACCAGAGTCAAAAAAGCCTAAGGTATTTTTGATAATTCAAAATATTTCAATTATACAGTTTACTAGGTTTTCCAATTTTAATCGACTTGTGAGATCAGTAGCTTATTCGATTTATAAACAATTGTAAGTCAAAGACTGGGTTATCAGGCAATTTAACGCTTGAGGAAGGCGAACAAGCTAAAATAAAAATACTTAAAATTTCACAATTAGAATCCTTTTCTAAAGAAATTAAGGATTTAAACAAAAATTCATTAGGTTCAAAAAATAAGCAATGTCAATTAAATTCATTTATTGACAAACAGGGTTTACTTTGCGCAGGCGGAAGATTGTCGAATTCTGATTATGCCTACAATAAAAAGTTTCCAATTATTTTATGTTCAAAACATAGAGTTACAAAATTAATATTTGACTATGAGCACCAACATTTATTACATGCTTGTCCACAATTATTACTAGCTCAATAAGAAATGACTATTGGCCAATCTCGGGTCGTAATCTGGCAAAAAAAACTGTTCGTTCTTGTGTAAAATGTTGTAGATTTAATTCTACTCAATTAAACCAAATTATGGGAGATTTACCAAAAAGTCGTATAAGTCAAAATTACCCATTCAATATTACCGATGTAGACTATGCAGGTCCCTTTACTATTAAGGATAGAAAAGGTCGCGGTTCTAAAACTTCTAAATGTTATGCTTGCATATTTATTTGCTTTGCAACCAAAGCAATTCATATTGAACTTGTTTCTGAACTCACAAGTGATGCCTTCATAGCTACATTTCGTCGCTTTGTTAGTAGGCGCGGTAAGCCAGCTGAAATTTACAGTGATAACGGCACCAATTTTGTCGGTGCAGATCGGAAATTGCGAGAATTGGGTGAATTTATAAGTGTTAATGTTCCCAACTTAAATAATTCGTTTTTAAACGAAGGTATGAAATGGCATTTCATACCTTCACGTTCGCCCCTTTTTTGTTGGGTTGTGGGAGGCCGGGGTTAAGTCAACTAAATCTCACTTAAGGTATTGGGTAATGCTTTGCTTACCTTTGAAGAGTTTTGCACTGTTTTGACTCAAGTTGAGAGCATACTTAATTCTCGTCCTTTGTATCCTATGTCCAATGACCCTAATGATTGTCGACCTCTCACTCCTGCTCATTTTTTAATTGGACGACCGTTCACATCATTACCAGAAAAAAAACGTTGAAGACTTGCCTGTGACTCGTTTATCCCGTTTCGAGTATTTACAGCAAATTTGCCAACACTTTTGGACTAAGTAGTTCAAAGAGTACATCACTGAATTGCAACAAAGATCCAAGTGGAAACAACAAGTGAATATTACCATAGGTTCAATGGTATTAATCAAGGAGGACAATCTTCCACCAGGAAAATGGCAACTAGGAAGAATCATAGAAACATTTCTGGGCCCCGACGGCCAAGTTAGAGTTGTATCCATCAAAACAATTAGTGGCACCTTCAAACGTGCAATTACAAAACTATGTGTACTCCCAACCAAAGACTTTTGAAATGATATTTCATGGCGTGGAGAATGTTCGGACTTTATTTAAAGTCCAAGATTAAATTTTGAATATTCCCGCGTGGAAGTGCCCGTCGACTGACGACACATCCGGAAACCACAGCCATCCCCAATCATTACAAACTAAAAGAACGAAGCAGATCGCAGCAACGATTGACAATTAAAAGTTTTTACATAGTTTAAATTTTGTTTGTATTCAAAATTATACGAAATACAGTCCACTAAAGTGCAAGCAAGTTTGATTGACATCCTAAACCAGAGGTAACACTTCGTGTATACAAGTATAGTATAGCAGAGTTATTGATAATAAAGTACGCATCGCAATGGGACGGGTCGCGTCGGGAGCGCGCTCGAGCGCCGGCTCACAAAATCAAATGTCATTAATCGTTTAATTAAGAATCCATTTTTTTTCGTTTTTCATTCCCCATATATATATATGGGTCATTCTCAAATTACAGGCAGATTTGGGTACTAAAATTTAAAAATTATAAATTACTTTTAATATTATCTATAGCCAAGTGGATCTGTTAAACCTGTGTTGCTCTGTGTAATATTCATAGTTGTCAAGCTATATATTCTTTATTATTACAAAAAACAAGAAAAAACTATTTTCTTTGTCCACGGACGTGACAAGGTGAACCACGGACATGATCTTTAATAAATATGATCAATTTTGTATATTAAATAATATTAGACATACATATATTTGTAACCTGGTAGACATATATATATATATATATATATATATTTGTAACCTGGTACAGCAAACATAATATATTAAATATAATATATTCGAGGGGTCAACCACCCAAAGGGAAAACGTCCAGGGATTCCCATGTATTCCCATTATATTTTATTGTATTCCTATGTATTTCCATTGTATTCCTATGGTATTCTCCCTCTAAAATGTCCAGGGATTCCCAGGTGTGGGTGACCCCTCGAATATATTATATCTAAAACAAATTAGAAAAAGTACTTAAGTTATTTATAAAAACATATTTATTTTTGTTCTCATTGTGTTTCGGATAACACAAAGCCATTTGAATATTTGATTCATCAATGACCGCAATCTCCTCTTCTATGGGAAACTCAAAGGACTTTTTTCCCGTTTTCTTAAAAAACTTCACTGTGTACTCTTTATTTGGATCAACAGATAAGATACGAGCAACATAATGACGGCAAATTTTTTTGCTTAATAATTTTACAACAATAAACGTATGTTTTTGATACTTCTGAAATATATTTGTTCTAATATTTCAAAGCGAGATATCCTCACTTGTGTCACTATCAGAGTCGTAGATATCTTTGTGCTGAAGACGTTGAGCTGGTAACAAGTCACGGACATCATTATTGCCTTTACTATTTTTTTTTATAAAAAATATTTCTTTTAAATTTCAGTTTGCCCAAATTATAATGTGTGCAAGAAGTTTAACAAGTCAGACAACTAAGTCTTCTAACAAAAATGGCAAGGGGGTCATTATAACGCCATACTATCTGGTGAATCTTTAAAGTTCCCTTAATTGAAGGAAGGTCATTTGAAGCAAATTTATCTATTTCTAGAAACTCTTCATCTGCAATCTTTAGAATGTTCATTCCTTTACACGCTTCCTTAAGTTTGATAACTAGTACTTCCAGGCTAGACAAATCTGTACTTCTTCCTACTAAACCATCTGCACTTCGCTTTAGGCATCCGCCGACACCATCTGGGGCACCCTTTCCATGCCCAGCTTCACTAAAATGCCAAAACATATTTTCGACGTTAAGAACTTTGCTTAAATATGAAGATGCTAGATAAAACATTGATTTATTTCGATATTGTGTGGAAGGTTCGTCGCTAGCAAAATGAATTGTTTTTAAATTTGGAACATTGTTCTTGATTTCCCCCAGCAAAGGGTTTAAATGGGCACAGATCGCAGCAGAATCATGTCTTAAACAATTAGAAAGGGTGCAGTATAAAACAGGTTTTATATTTTCACCATAATAGACAACAGACGTATGTAGACTTATTTGTTTCTTCGATGCTCCAAAGTGAGAAGCTTGAATTTCAGAAGCATATTTAAGTACATAATTTTCAGAGAAATCCATATGGACTAGTATCTGATAGTGATTTTTTGAATGAATCTAAAATAGCGTACTGATGATTTATATTACACACATGTTGCATAAATGGTGTTAAAGTGGTTTTGAATATTTTAATTAGTTCTACTGCTGAACATTTTCTCGTATCTTTGACTGTCTTTGAACATATTTTTGTTTTGCCTTTAATATTGATTTCTTCTTTCTGAATAGCCCATGTTTGATAGGATATTTGCTCATTTTCGTCATAAAAATTAAGATGTACGTTTTTATCTTTTATCAAATATTACATGTTCTTTCCAAACAAATTTCTTTTGGAGACTCACCACAGCAGATAGTTTTCAGTACGTCAGTTATTGTTGACTCATTTATAATGGCATGTCTTTTTAAGCATTCAACAATAAGTAACATATTTGCATCTTGTTTGCATAAACACGTTTCTCTATCTTTATGATTTGGAGATAAAACCCAAAATGGCCGAAACTTGCAAAATGTGGCATAACTAATTTTTTTAAGATCTGGATGAGAAGTAACAAACTTTTTATGAAGATTTAATAAAGCATCATTTAATAACCTGTTTTGTTTTTTTTTCTTTTTTGTTTGGTTATTGTTTTTTTTTCCTGGCGGTTAGTCTACTGTTTTCATCTTTTTCTAAAAAGGCTGTTACTTTTATTTTCACAATTAATACTTTTTCTTCGGTCGTTCGCTTGCATTATCGCTTGTTTAATATTGATGAAGTTAACCTGCCGATATGAGTAAAAAACTTATATTTTTTAATAACTTCACCATTAAGCATAGAGAGAAAATAATGTTTGTTTTTAACTTTCGTTTCGCGAGAATAGTTTTGCTTTATTTGCTCTCCAATAACTTTAGCAAATAGGAGTTTTTTTCTAATATTTAAGGGACGGAATACTCTGTCAACATTTTTGTGACTTTAGAATTTGGACTTTGAGATAATGTAAGGTTACGCTGATTTGATCTGCTTATTTGTTTTTTGTATTTGTTCACAGATTTTTTAAGAGTATTAACTACCTTTTCGAAATCTTTAATTTTCTGTTTCATTATGTTTCTGTTTTTTCTTGCAATTTTTTTTCCTCTTTCCTGAGGAGTACTATTTCATCTACTATTTTCACTCGGCCCTGGCAAATGTTGCAAAACCATTTGAGGACTTTTTGTTGGAGTTGTCTCCAAAAAGTTACTTTCAAATTCTGCATCTCTTTTGGCAGCTCTTTTTCTGTCCCTATACCGCTTAGAACTTTTTATCCATTCTTTTCGCATTTTTATATGATCTCGTTCACTCCACTCATGAATAGGACGTCGGCTTTTTTTCTTTCTTTCTATTTCTTTCTTTTTCTCTTCGGCATAGCGAACAGGGTTATTTTTTAACTTCTCTCTTGCTCTTCGCATACTCAATTTCTTTGTTTCTCTTTTTTTCTCCAACTCTCGGTTACTAAGTTTCTTAATTTTAGCCATTTGAAACCTAAAAAGAAAAATATAAACTTTGCTACTAGGCCTCGTAAAAATATTTATTTTTCGTAAAACCAAATCCATGGATATGTTGTCCACGGACTCACGTCCGTGGACATTTAGGTTCCACGGACATTATGTCCACGGACATGAGGAACCTCATAGTTTTGGCGGGTTAAAAATTATGCATATGAGGTTAGAGAATGCTACATTAGCGACTAAACCTAATTTGCTCTATTTGGTTTAGTATCGTAGACTGAAAACTAAAAAATATTTTTTTCCTACCTTTTTTGTAGATCCACGGACGTAATATAAGTAAATGACCAACACTGATTGACTAAACACTTTCCCAAATATTATCAAAATGTTTTTTTAAATTCATTCAATAAAACACTGACAGTTCTATAGCTTTAGGACAGGTCCGTCACCTAGCATAAATGTTTGCAACAATAGCTTTCGCGCTAATTTTTGAATTTTTAAGATTAATCCACGGACATGACTATTATTCTGTGACAGGTTTTTAAACGATATACAATATGAAACTCCTCAAGATGTTGTTAATGGCTTTGCTGATTATTTTGGTATTGTTTATTCTGTCAGTGATGACAATACTGCTTTGACTCCTGAGTTTACATTTAATTCAGATATAAATATTACTGCATTTTCTGAGGAGCTTATATTACGAAGTATGTCTAAACTAAAAAACAATTATTCATGTGGTGTTGACCTCATCCCAAACTTCTTAATAAAAGATTGCTCGTTAATATTTGCATATCCTCTCTTAATATTGTTCAATTTGATTTTGTCAACGTCTACTTTTCCAGATTTATGGAAAATAACCAGAGTTTGCCCTATTTTATAATCAGGCAATCCTAGCGATATTAAAAACTATAGACCTATAGCTATTCTGTCTAATTTTGCGAAAGTCTTTGAATCTTCCATGTATACCTGCATCTACAATGAGGTAAGTAAACTAATATCCACGCAGCAGCATGGATTTATGAATAAACGCTCGACTGTATCCAACTTAGCTGAATTCACGCAATTTGTTTCAGAACAACTTGACAAAAAACTTCAAGTAGATGTTATATACACGGATTTTTCTAAGGCCTTTGACAGGGTCGATCACCAAATTCTGCTTAATAAGTTACACTTTTTTGGTTTTAGTCACTTCCTTATTAATTTGTTTTATTCATATTTGTGTGAGCGAAAATTATCTGTTTCTTATAATGGCTACAACTCCGATTATTTCTATGCGAGCAGTGGAGTACCACACGGCTCTAACTTGGGTCCGCTTTTGTTCATTTTATTTATTAATGACTTGTCATTAAAACTTAATTGTAATCATCTACTGTTTGCTGATGACCTAAAAATATTAACCAGTATTTCCAGTTATACAGATTGCGAACTCTTTCAGGATCAGTTAAGCATTATTTTAAGATGGTGCAAAGTTAACAAACTCGACCTAAACATTTCTAAATGCAAAATCTGTACCTTTAGTCTTAAAAATACGCACATCATATTTAATTACACTTTAGATATTACTTCTCTTCCTCGCTGTCATGAAATTCGTGACCTTGGTGTACTCTTTGATAATAAGCTTTCTTTTACATCCCACATTAATAATACTGTGCAATCTGCTTTAAAGCTCCTGGGTTTTATAAGTCAGAATTCTACCAATTTTTGTAACATCGCAGCACTAAAATCAATGTATTTTTATCTTGTTAGAACAAAGCTCGAATATTGCTCACTTATTTGGTACCCGTATTATAACGTACATATTGACTCAATTGAAAAAGTACAAAGAAGATTCCTTAAACTTCTCTCCTACAGAGTTGACCATATTTATCCTGCTAGTTTTAATTTTGATACCCTACATGTTAGACGAATAGTGACAAGTTTAAAATTTCTGTGGAAACTTTTTAATTACCAAATTGATTCTTGTCATTTATTGAGTCTCTTAAATATTTTAGTGCCACGTTTGGAATCTCGTGGAAGTAAAACATTTTATTATAGTTCCTCAAGAACTAACGTGCTTTTGAAATCTCCTGTTCATGTTATGTGTGGTAATTATAATTGTATAGGTAACCAGTGCGATTTCTTTAATTTAAACATTAAGGAAATTACGTCCAGAGCTCATGATTTTTTTTTCTCGGTCAAAATAATTTGGAATTTTAATTTTTATTTAATTTATATTATTCATGATATTATTTTTTATTATGTTTTTTTAACAAAATATTTAGTTCATCTTTTTTCTTTTATAATTTTTTTATAAAATGTTACATGTTGTGTACTTTGTTGTGTATTCTGTTGGGCAATAAATTATTATTATTATTATTATTATTATTATTATTATTATTATGTATTTATAGGTTTTTAAATATTTAATTAAATTATTTTTTCTTATCCACAGATCAGCTAAAATAAACTTATCGTGTGAATGGTTACAAAAAAATATTGTTATATTATTTTTAGTGTATTTTTTGGAAACATTAAAATTTAATGTATTTAGTTGTGACCGTCCACGTGGAGGGAAAAACCCCTAAAATATATTTATATTTTTTATAATAGGGTAATTCTTGTTTGAAGCACAGTGTTTTCTAAATATTTATGTCAAAAAGAGAATAAAAAAAGCAAAACTTTCTACTAAAATATCCCATATTGCCTAGTAAATGAAATATAGAAAATAAAATCGGACACATAATCATTAGCGACTACTTTTCACGATGCTCTGACTATTTATAAACGTTTGCGATAAGATGGCATGCGCGACGGCGGGACTTCCCCTAAAGTTTTTCGGGGACGTCCAACGCGAATAGCGAATCGTAAATATAAAAATATGGAGCATCGCGTCACTAAACTCGTTGTCAGTTTATTATTTGTTTTAATTTAGACGGTAAGTATTGTAATTTAACAAAAATACCTACTTTAAAATGGCTGGAAACCTCAACACGATTTTTGGGAAAAATATGATTTTCAACAAGTTAAGGCTGACGGAAGAAACTCAAGTTTGTAATTATTGTATCAAAATTTTAAAAAATACTGCTAAGAAAAGACTTAAGAGGACACCGGAATGTTTGCAGAAAAAGAAAAGCTGAAAATTTAAGTGAAATTTTGTCAAATTTAGATGACACAGTGAAAGCTAGTGAGGATGAGGAAGAAAATAAAATTCCATTAGACAAAGTAGCAAGGCTAGTGAAAAAAGAAAACCAAAAAGTTGGGTTTTTGGACTAGGTGTGTGAAGGTGATCAAAATCAACCAAAACCAGTACGTTACTATAATAATTTTCCATTCGCGACTAGTTTCGATCGTTCTTGACCATCATCAGACAAAGTTACAGTTAATAATATTTCATTTTTTAGTTTAACATTTAAAAAGTTAAAAAAAAATTGAGACAATAAACAATAGAATTAAAAAAGGGTACTACAAAATCATTGTTTAAAATTCAAGTTAAAAATAAATAATTTAAATATAATATATATTATATTAATTAAAGCTTTTTACATTTAACACATATATTATAAATATGTTGATGTATCATG